GAGTAACGTGGGAAGGTGTCTGGGAATGTTTCCGATTTCTGCAGTGCTGTTCATTCTGGGTTGGGTTGATGACACACATATGGCAAAGGGCTCTGGAGTTGCAGATGTGCTGTGCAGTGTAAAATTCAGAAACCAAAGCTGACAGTATCATATGAACCATGAAATGTTCCACCAGTAGGACAGGGGAAGTGTTTCATTCATAATTCTTTCCCAGGACATAAATCTCTAAAGGTTTCAAGTCCTGGCTGGTACTTACAATGAGTTAATTTTTTTTTTTTCAATGACAAATATTGGTAGTCCCTTCCCTGCCAAATACTGCAGAGATGTTACAGGGACATACATAAAGAGATGTTATGTCTTGGTGTGTGATTTGGGGAAGAGAAAAGGGCACAAAACAGGCCAGGCTTCCTCTGTGAGCTGCGACTACAGTGGCTGCAGCCGGTTGTAAAAACCCAGCCGTGTGAGCTCCAGGGAGTGAGGTTCCTTTGTACTGCAGAGCAGCTCTTGAGGCAAATAACTGCTGAACTTAAAGCATGCAGGAAAGATGTTAGAAACTGGAGAACTGCTGGATCTCTTCCTCTGATTTCTGTGGGGAAATGCCTTTGGTCAGAGCCAAAGCAGTTCAAAGGAGGCTACAGACCTACTGGTGACTCTTCACAAGCGTCTGAGAAAGCTTGGCTGAGCTGATGGGATGTGGAAGAGGCACGGGGTGCTGTGTGGAGATGAACTGCGTGGTTTGCTGTGAGGGGTGGATCGAGTTAACTGCTGCTTTTGACTCTGAATCACAGAATCATCACGGTTGGAAGAGACCTTTAAGATCGTCAGGTCCGACCATCAACCCAGCACTATCCCTGCAAACCCTAAACCACATTGGCCAGCACCAGCTCCAGACACCTCTTAAACACCTCCAGGGATGGTGACTTGAACAGTTGATGCCCATGGACCCTGAAACTGCAGTGCTACCTTTCCCATAGACCCACATCTACATTCTCTTGTTTCTCATGTATTTAAGTTGTACAAAAAAACCCCAAACCTTGGACTCTTCTTTCCTCCTCTGACTTCTGCATATGTTTGGTTTTGAAGTTCTCAGGTGCCTGTTGAGGTGGTAGGTGTGCAGTGGGTGGAATGAAAAGTCAACTGGACGTGAGAAATTCCCACCTTGGAAAGCCCTTGCCGTGCAACAAATGGTCACCAGATCAGTTGCATCTGAGGGCAGCTCTGCTTGGATGAGGCCAGTAGGAAGAAGTACAGTAAGATCACCATGGAAATTTGACCTAAGGGGGAAAAAAAATGTCTTGTTCTGGAAAGCATTAGGGCTGCTTCTGTGAGGCAGGGTGGCTGTTGAAGCTTCTCTGCTCTCTTCACACAGTTTTATTTACAGCTCAAAGTAAAGAAAGCAGTAGTTCTTGACTGGTGCTGTTAATGTATACACTGTATATCAAGTTTATTGCAAAGTCTGTTAGCAAGCTACCAGCCTGGTTTTTAATCTGCAGATAATCTTACCCTCATTTATATATTTGGGCTCTGTTACCGTGCCCAGCGTAGGCACAGCCATTGGAATCTATCCAGTTCACCTAACAACTTTCATTAAAGAAAATTGTCCTTGTAATAAAAATTACTCAGTGTGACAAGATTCCATAGTATATTTTTTTAAAGCCCCATAAAATTTTCTAGCAGTTAATGCCACTTATTTGTATTTTTGGTGTTTTCTTTTAAAAGTAAAAATTGGCTAAATTGTGCCAGTATTTGAAATAGAATGAAATAACTATTTTCTATCTGGGCATATAGAAACCTGGGTGGCAGGAATAGCCCAAGGATAAGGAAATAAGAAAACTCTGTCTTTGAAGAGTACGTTTTATAGAATTTTGTACACTGAGAGATTGCTTGGAAGTCTGTGACTCTTTTAGTTAGGGAAAGTAAATTCAATAAACTCTGCCCACTTGCAGTTCATGATACAGAAGTCTTAACCTTATAAAATGCAGTGATCAAATGTGGATTTTTCTGCAGCAGCTGGGAGCAGCTTATCTGAGCATCATCCCTGCTGGCTGAAGGACAGCACTCAGTACATGTGTCCCTGCAGAGCAGTGTGAATACGTGGGTGCTGATGGAGTTCCTGCAGCTTTTCCTTGCTTTTCCCAGCCATCAGAGACATAACATTCCTGATGTGAGACACTTCTTACCAGTGCAGTGTACAACAGGCTACCCACTGCAAGTGTGAAATGCTTTGGCATTTTTTTACTGTGGAAACGCAGTGAGGAAGTGCTAAAGATTTAGCTAAAGTGCTAAAGAACCAAACCCAGCATTTGGGAATGCAGTTTCAGTGGGAAGTCAGTGGATTAGACTCGCTGCTGTCTCTTTGCAGACTACTCACCTGAGAAGACTCAGACTCCTTTTTTCCTCTGTCTTCTTTTCCTGTTACACAATAAAAATGGGGAAATCTCTCCTTTTTTAGCTGCTTGTTCATTAATAGGTATAAAACAGCCTGTCCTCAGTCAGTCTGGGGCAGAGCAGCTATCACTGTCACCACAAATATGGCCGAGTCCCGTGACTCTTTATTCACCTTCTGGGGTGTGTGTGTTCATGTGTGGGACCAGATCCCCCAACACACTCGTGTTTGGTAGCAGGCTGAGCACGCTCTGCTTGTACCCCTGGAGGAATTGGTTCAGCTGCCTTCAGGCATCACCAGAGATGAAACTGCACGACAAAGCAGAACAGTTCAGAAAGATACATGATGCTGAAATGTGAAAGGACCAGCACACAGGTGGAAGAAAAATCTCTAGGATCTTTCACAGTCTCGTTTTCTCATTTCTATCAAAATAAAGAGTTGCAGAAGGTCTCTATATATTTTGCATTCTTTGGGAGCTTTGGATTTTTTAAGACTTTCCAGTGTTTCGTAGGTTTGGTTTGGGGTCTGATCTTCCAAGTGCTACAGTATCCGTTGCTACTGTTGGGGAATCAGAGCAAGAGCTTCTGTGTGATGGTTCCCTCCTTTATTTTAATGAGCACCAGCAGCCACTCTCACGTTTGTCTGATTTTGGGTACATTAACTTAGGTCTACCTCCTGTCTTGGGCTTAGCAGATTTATGCTTGAAGTGAGGATTGTTTGTTCTCTCTGATGAAACAGTCTATTGTGATAAACTAACAATGGCAAGACATGAGCTCTGATGTTGAACAGTGGTGGTAGCTTTTCCTTTCTCTCCTTTTTTTTTTTCTTCTTGTTTTAAGTCTACCCACTGCCTCAGGAGGAAGGCAGCTGCTCTAATAATACATCTGGTCTCTGTGGAAGGCCCTTATTTGAAAACTCTGTAATTGAGTGGACAAAATTTCTGGTTGCTTGAGAGGATCTATTCAGAAGAGATTTGAAAAGGATGAGGGAAAAGCACACTAGACAGCAAGAAGTCCTAAGGGCTCTATTGAGCAGGGAAACCTATGTAGATATTGTGGGACAATTAGACTTGCCAGGCAAAACACTAAAATGGATTTGTGAAAAGAAGATCCCGGGGAACGTTAAACAAAGCTTTGAACAGGGCAAAGAGCTTGCTAGGAATACCTCAAAGGCAAGGAAGTTGATTTGGATGATCTTTGAAGGAAGGCTGGCGATGGCTGCTTCAAAGGGAAGGTGCAGAATGTGTGTTAGTCACAGGGATTGTGCCTGTTTCCACAGCTGCCAGGTCAGCACCAAGGGGGAGAGCTCAGAACTGGGTTAAGTTTATTTGCTCCTTTGCTCTTTCCTGAGAGCTGTTCCAATGCCCAGCCTCCCTGGTGCCCCGCTCAAGGGCACTTCACGCTGTTGGCCTTTCCAGCCCCTGCCTTTCATGCCTGCTTTGGAAGCTGATGAAGACTGTGCTGTACAGAGTGGAGTGGATGTGTTCCCTGCAGTCAAAACGAATAACCCTGCAAGGTTATTTGTATTTCAGTGATTGCCTCTACTCGAGTTCTGTTGCGTGAGATTTTAAGATGAGTTGTTCGCTTAGATTTAACAAGTTTTGCCCAGCGAGGCTGCTTTCCCCCATCGGTTGCTGATGGCAGTGGGTGGTGTGGGGCATTAATGAACAGTCCCTGGCATGCTCTCAATGGGGTTTGCTATCAAGTAAGTCAGAATTTCAGATGCCTAAAGATCAACCCATTAGTGATGAGGCCAGTGTCAGCTCAGCCTATTTTTAGGTTTTTCTTTGCTGCTTCACTCTTTGATGTAAAGACAGCTGTGTGCCCCTTATTCTTTATGTAGACCAAACTTTTTATCTCCACTTTGGAACAAGCTGTCCATTGTTTTGATCACTCAGTGATCTTCCTCTGCAGCTCTTCTGTTTGAATTCTTGTTAATCGTGGTGACTGCCAGTGTCTGTGCTAATTCAGATGTGGCTCCAGTACATGTTCAGCAGCGTAAATATTTCCATATTTAAATGCAAATATCTCTTCTGATAAGCACATAACGAAGCCATCCCCATACAAACTGTGGCTGTACCTGCCTCATGGCTTGGAGGGCTGTGTGACTAGGCTTTTTGCTGGTTTTTATTTATGCATGAGTGGATGTTGTATTGTGTGTTTTGAAGAAATCAAACACAACTTAAATGCACTGATGGACTGAGTGCAGTTTTACTTCTGAAAGTAAATTGCCCTGTGTCTCTTCTGGTTTTCCACAAGTGTCCAAGAATCCCAGCTGAGGTCTGCCATCTGTTTTTTTATTCCTTTTCTTCCTCCTCTGCTACTTTCTTTCTCATCCAGCACTCCTTTGTCTTTTCTTAGTACCTTTTTTTTTTTCTTCTCTTTTTTCTTTTCTGTTTAATTGCTTCTAAGATTTTGGAACATCTTCAAAAGTCTTGCTTAAGCAGTTATTTTTAAACCTGGAATTTAAAAGCAATTATTCTTACTTCCTTTTTCCTGTTACTGCATTTAACTGTTCAGGTCATACTTCCAAAGGCATCCCCTTCTGGTAGAGACGGAACCGTGTTTTTAAGAAATTAGTTGTTACAGTGCTCAGATTTCTCATTTTCCTACAGAACACCTGAAGAAACGCCTGGAGGATTACATGGCCCAGTTCCCAAATGTACGAATCCTGCGAACCAAAAAGAGGGAAGGGCTGATCAGGACTCGCATGCTGGGGGCCTCTGTGGCCATAGGGGATGTCATCACCTTCCTGGATTCCCACTGCGAGGCCAACGTGAACTGGCTGCCACCCCTGTTAGGTGAGTGAGGGGGGTGTTAAATTTGGGTTATTACCACCTGCTGCTTCCCTCTCATACTGTAAATGGGCAAAAGGAACATGAAATATCGTAAAAGGGAGAACAAACCAATCAAAAGACTCAAGTGAATTGTTGGAAACTTGTAGCTTTTAATGCAAGAATTTTTCTGTTCTACAGTCCTGTGCAATAACCCTGTCGTTTGCTTTGGTTAATTAAAGAGCAGGGATCACATTCTTCTCTTTCCTTGCTAAATGAAATCTTAAATAATTTACAGCTTGTTAGAAGAGTAAACTATCACATGGTCATTCAGCAGCTTGCAGAGAGGAGTGGCTTTATCATACAGAAAAGATCTTTACATAGAGGTTTTAAGTAGCTTTTAGGGTTTTTATCTCCTATATAACTATATTTAACTTCACAGTCTGAAAGCCTGTGGAAAATACTTCTTGTGAATGTGAGCTGCTGGTATGTATTTGTAGAACACGGGCACTCTTTTCCGAGGCAGTGCTTCATCTTTAAGTGGTCATCAGTTTGACAATGTCAGCTCTTTTCAAAGATGATTCATTGAAGGGACAGTGTCATCTGTTTCTGGTACCTGTCTGCCTCTGGTCATTACCAAACTCCTTTACAAGCCCGTTGCAAGTGACCTGCCAAAGCTCTCTCTGAGGTGTGACTTTGGCTTTGGCAACAACAGTCAAGTGCAGGTTTAAGAAACAGAAGTCATATTTGTCTGCAGGATTGTTGGATGGTTATCCCCTTGCTTTCGCTACAGCTTATATCTGGCAATAGTGTAAAACATTTGCAGCTTTATGAGCCCCAGGGAGGGAGGACAGAATTAGCTCAAATGTCATTTAAATGAGAGCACGTAGAGTGTGCTTTGATTTTAAAGCACAGAAAGGATTTGAGTTTGACGTGTTTTGGAAGCTGAGACATCATTTGTCGCCTCTGCTCTGAAAGTTAACTTCCAACAAGAGACTGTCTCACTAATAAAGTATTTAAGAAATTCCAGATGCTTATGCAGGAATTAATCCTGTGTTGTTGTGTTTGGTTGGAAGAAAAGGTTGAGGGGAGGAGGTAACACTTGCCTTTCTTGAGCCCTGCTGAGAGTAGTTATGCCATTAGTCTGAAGCGCTTCCTGCCAGATCCTGGCGCAGCAATTAGAGCTGGGTGGTGCAGTGGGTTATTTCCCTGGGTTTGGATCCATGCAGAAAGGGTCACATCCTGGTTGCTTGTGAAAATGAGGACTCCTCACCGAGCACAAGAGTGTCTGTTTTTAGCCTGACAGTGTACATATATGTAGTGTGCCTGGTGTTATCTGAATTATTAATTATTGCAGAAGTAGCAGATAAATTGATATAAATTGGAGCATCTGCCCAAAAGAGAAGGAATGGGGAGAAAACTGTGTCGTTCTTGGACAACTTCATATTTTGGCACTCTTTTTTTTTTGTAATTTCATGGTCAAAGGAACCATCTGGTGGGGGGTTTCTAACATGTTTCTCCATCCTTCAGATCGCATTGCCCGAAACCGCAAGACTATCGTTTGCCCCATGATCGATGTTATTGATCACGACCACTTTGGATATGAGACTCAGGCTGGAGACGCAATGAGAGGTGCATTTGACTGGGAGATGTATTACAAGAGGATCCCCATTCCTCCTGAGTTACAGAAACCTGATCCCAGCGATCCCTTTGAGTAAGTTACTGCAACCTGATGTGCTAAGAGCCAGCTAATGAAATAACACCCCGTTACAGGGCTGGTTTACATCTCAGCATAGTAGAAGTCAGAGACTGGTGTTAAGCTGCTTTTTGGCAGCCATTTGCTTTGTTGGTTTAAAAGAAATGCACTGTATAGTAGCTGTGAACACTCTCCTTTTCACTGCTTTTTTTTTTTTTCCCCACCCTAATTTCCACAGAAGTTAACATTTCATTGAGAACTGTAATGTGTAACATCTAATGTGGTCATTTGTTACTGGGATCTTTCAAACATAACTTAGCATCCCTAATGCTCTGCCAGAAACAACAAACCAACGGTGGCTTATATGTCATTCCCAGGTGTGGGAAGAAGAAAACCTAGCAGAATAATTACAGCAATTTTGGTGGTTGCAGAGCACTGCAGAAGTAAATCTGAGATCAAGGTGCATTATGCTATTGCTGTGCTTGCCACCATTGAGACAGTTCTGCTGTCCCTTATACAGTGTTTAAAAAAAAACCACCTCAACTAAACCCTTTTTGAGGTTAAACTCAAATGGTGAACTCCTGCCTATTTCGAGGAGAGGCACTGGCTGGTTCTGAAGGGATCTAGTCTGGTCCTCCTCCTTTGCAAGTGGGAAATCAGCAGATAATGCCAAAACAACTGTTTGATGCTCTAACAGGGCTGTAAAGGCAGCAGGAACACTGGGTGGTGAAAGAATATTTGTCAAATCTTGCTTTTGTTTTTTAAATGTTTAGTTAGATATCTCTATCTTTAAATGTGTTTGTAATATGGAGTCTGTTTTTTCCGTAAGGTCTCCTGTAATGGCTGGAGGACTGTTTGCAGTCGACAGAAAGTGGTTCTGGGAGCTGGGAGGGTATGATGCTGGTCTGGAGATATGGGGAGGAGAGCAGTATGAAATATCCTTTAAGGTGAGCCAAGTTCTCTGGAAATTACTTCTGTTTTGAAAAGTAAGAATTGTTTTGAAAAGTAAGAATTGTTCTGAGGTGCAGAATGTGAATGATCTGTCTTGCCCTTGCTTTTGCGTGTGACTAAAGGTGAAAGAGCTGGGAGTAGTAAGATAGTGCACAGAAGAAACAGCGATGGTGTGAGCAGGCACTTGTGAGGGTCAGTTTTGGAGCATGATTAGCTGGGGTGTCCCCACTCTGTGGTCACAGATTCCGATGCATGCACTCCTCCCAGCAAGGGTAAGTCAGCTTGTGGGGAGCTCTCTGACTCTTATGCTGCTTAGTGCTCACCCTGGCAAGATGATGAAGTACTCCCCTCCTGAGGGAAGAAGGATTCCAGCAGCTCAGTGTTTGCCCATTTGAGTACCTCAGCCCTCAGCTCGAGTTCCCAGAGCTGAGAGCAACTTTCTGTCTGTAGTCAATCCATCTGAGTTCTGGCTGCGAGGAACTGAGTCTGTTAATTACCCGGGAAGAAATCCCCAACAACTGGAGTAATAGCCCTGTTGCTGGCAATGACTTCGGATCATTATGTGCCTGGCTTGGGGACAGTTCTGTTGCTCGCTGGCTGACTGAGCTGCTCAGTTGAGGGTTTTAAAATTAAGAGTTAGCCAGCTGATTGAAAAAGCTTACTGGTAGTAACATGTCACTGTGACCCACCAATGCTGCTGGTACCTGTGTTATCTTGCACTTTGGCACTCTGAAATCCAGTCTAGGAAACCCACTGGAATGTGCCAGACCCTTGAAGGCAGGTGGCTGGTCTGGAATCCTTTCCACAGCCTGGAGTGAAGATTTCTACGTTAAACTCCGGGGTTTCTCTTTCAGAAGTTGAATGTATAATTTTATAGGTGTCTGGATGCCACTGAGCTAAGCTAGTTCGCCTCAGCACAGGGCTAGAAGATGGCAGCACTGCTGCTATAGTGCACAGTTTAGCTTCAGCTAAAATTCTGCAAGTCTCCCCTGAAAAGTCATGGCTGATCTCTTCTAAGACAGATTCCTAAATCTGAATGCCCCTGTGCAATTCAGAGGATATTGAACCTCAGCAACCCATATTGCCATAAATACACCCTGTGAGCTACTGGGCAGCAAGCAGTGGGAGGAAAGACATTGTTCTTGAGACAGTCTTTTCTTCCATCGTTTGCTTACAAAAAAGCACAAGTAATAAAGTCACCCTGGAGGTCCCGTGTCCTCTGTAGTGGTGGCAGAGGTTGGAGCCATTTGATCCTTGTGTTGCATGTAATGAAATTGTGTAACACACTCGTTCTCTGCGGGAGGGGCTGTGTCAGTATTCAGCCTCTCTTCCTTTCTGAAAATGCTGGTTTCCAAGAGTGATGACAGTGGCTGGGCAAGCCCTTTGTCTCCAGTGCCACAGCAGACAGTCACACTGCTTGATCTGCAGGAAATAAGACTACTTCATTCATCTGTTTGCTTATCCCCTCTGAAACACACTGTGTTTTATTTCAGTCTGGAGATGGTAATTTATGGAGGGATAAATTTGCTTTAATTAATCTCTGCAAAGACCCCCCCCCCCTTTTTCTTTCATTGTGCAACAGAAAAATGAAGTTTTCACTGAAAGAGGCTCACTGTATTTTCAGAAATTAAGATAAATTGATACATTCATCTGTGGCTGATAGATTTAATAATTCTGCTGGAATTGCAAGAATAGAAGGTTTGTTCATAGAATTTATGAAGCATTTCCTGGCGAGCTTAGAGCTACGTTTTTACCTTTAGAAGCAGACTGAGATTTTGTAGTTAAAGGTGCACTGTCAAATAATTTAAAGCTCTGGCTTTAGGCGTGGGGTACCTGCTTTCACATTATTTATTATCTCATGGGAATTCAGATGCTAAGCGTGCCAGATTTACAGCCCAGCTTTAACAAAGAATCCATTCCTGTGTCTGGGCGTTGTGGGTGCAGGTCCTCTTTTGTACTGCTGGTCTTTAATCCGTTGCACAGGATCTGGCCTTCTCGAGCCTCACCAGGAATAGAGGGCTTTTGGGGGTTTGTTTTTTTTCCTTAAGCATATTCCTTTTTTGGCCATGCATGGACTGTTCTTTACTGGGTTTTGCCTTTATTTTAAAATCCAGGGCTCTGTTGCTGAGAGACTGGGAATAAACAAGTTTATTTAGGAGCCTCTTGCCTTTCTGTTTGGGGATGGTGTGTATTTCTGTCATCAGCTGGCTCTGCTTCCTCCTGAGCAGAAATTTTCAGGCAAGCCAAGAGAGAAATCATCAGTGTTTAGCACCTCAGAAGACATTCAGCTAGAGGGTGGATCAAACTCTGGAAGCCTTGCTCCTTATATGAAACGTGTACACCAAACATCACTAGAAAACATCACATGCAGGAGGGACAAAAAAATTTAGGTGAACTTCCCATTAGAAACAAACTTTCTACCCCTAACTGCTGGTTTGTACTTTTGTGGGGTTTACCAGTCCCTTAAAACAAATTTCTAGACTGGAATTGAAGGAGTCATCTATTCTTTCCATATTCAAGCAGAAAACAGGCATTTCTCCCCCCTCTTGCTGTGTGTGTATCCAGAGCAGCTCAGTGCCTCTAACCCAGCACCTCTGCAGCTTAAGGTCTTCCTGTGTCAGGTCATCCCCAGACACAGCAGGCAGGTCCCAGGCTCCAGTGGTCCTTGCAGGTGTTGCCTGTGTTCAGAGGAGCCTCCTTTGCTCCATGAGCTTTGCTTGCTCCGGGAAAACTGCTCTGCAGATCCGTGTTCTGAGAGAACCATTCTCCTCCTCCTCCTCCATCTCCTCAGTCCCAGCTGCTGACCTTGGAGCATGGTCTCACATTTTAGAGAAGGGGTAAGAAGCATTCACAGCTGTCTCTGTGGGGCACTTGTCACCTTTCCTTTCTGTTCCCCCTAACTGTAGCCATGGTTCCTCTGTTCAGTGGACTTCATCAAGATGGGTGTTTCTGCTTTTTCAGAGTAACTTCCATACCTCTCCTATCTTACAGCTTTTCCTGGTCTTTTTTATCTTCCTGAAATTACGTGAGCAGAACTGAATGCTTTACCCGAAGTTACAATGGGCCTTTCCTCTTCTAAACACAACTTAATAGCTGCCTACGTAACCACTTCATTTTTTTTTTTCTTTACATAAAGGCATTTAATTTGGAGCAGTATATATGGAGCATTTAAACTGTTCCTTCCTGCAAATGCTACTTTTTGCAGCACTTATCTACGCTCAGTTCCGTTTGAGATCCTGTTGCCTCTTTGCCAGTATTTTTGTGGCTTCTCTTCTGTTTGGCTTACATAATCTTCACTAAACTGCTTCACGCCTCTCTTCCATAAATATATAGTCTCTTATTTTTTGGGGTATGGGGAAAACAGAAGAGTAAAAAGGGATGTCTCTGGCTCATATAGGCACAAATATAGCTGTACTTTGTACCTCAGATCTTCAGTGGTGTGGTTCTCTATCCTTTAATTGCACATTGTACTTCAGGAGCAATAAAAGATTGTAAAGCCATAATAAAATTCAAAGGCTTGGTTCAAACAAGCCAAACTGACAGTTGCCCTGCAAAGAACAATTAAGGGGAAGACAAAAAAGCTGGGCAGTACTTGTGGTCTTCACTCCATGCTTCAGCAACAGGAAACAGCCACTGTATTTATTCTGGTGGTTGTAGATCACGGCATTTTTCCAAATCCTTTTTCCCAAAGCATCAGCATGGATTGCTTCTGATTTCCAACAAACCCAAGTGCTCCATAGCTGCTGCTCACAAGTCTGATGCCTGCATCTCCTGTGCCCCGTGTCAGCAGCACATTCCTTATTCCCACTGGCAGGTGGGTATTTGGGGTGCAGCTGCCAAGGCATCCCCTCTGAACATTTCTAGTTGTTGCTGAAGTTAGTGCTGACTGTGAGCCTCCACTGCTTATTCCAGGCACATACTCGCACCACTTTCCAGCAGCTCATGTTTGCCCACACTGAAACAGGCCGGGCATTCTGCTGCCTTTTTTTTTTTTTTTGGGGTGGAGAGGGGGGGGTCTTTTTAGCCAGCACATGGTGCTTAATTCTAAGGCTCTCGGCTGCAGTACAGGGTGGCTTCTTTCTCCCTTCCTACCTGGTGATGCACAGATCAGTTGACAGATCAATGACTTGAATTTTTTTGCCTCTGTTCACCCTGTGTGCTTGGTCCAGGCTCCAGAGCAGCCTCCCACCAAGCAGCAGCAGGGAAGGGCTCCCCTCCACTCTCTGATTATTGGAAAGTGCTGTCATTACTCTTGAATGCTCCAGACGGTGAGGAGGGGCTGTGCTGGTGTGTGATGTGAGAGGAGATGCTGTGCAAACACACAGATCCCAGTGCCCCATGAGCTACCTTAATCTCTTATAGAGCACTAAGTCCCAGCTGCAGGAGCAGCTGATGCTTCTAATACAAAGGATTACAATTTTTCTGAATTATTGGTTTCCCTTGCTTTCATCTTTTCACCTTCCTTATTATGCAGAGAACCCCCTGACTTATTCTCTGTGTCTTTTTCTTCCTACCTTTCAGTGAGTGCTCAGACAACCAGGCAGCTTCTCTCCGTTGGTCCATCCCATGGTCTTCTTTTCTGTTGTGCCTTGCAGGAGCAGCTTTGTTTTCAAGGCTTAACTCTCTCTTTTGTGTTTTTTCCCTCTCTTGGGAAGCATTGACTCATCGTGGTGCAGTCTTTGGAAACCATAAACCTTGTATTCCCAGATAATTTGTGTTCGCACACCAACTGCAGCATTGTATTGTGTGTTTGAGAGGAGAGGTTCAGCTGTCTTACCTGGCATTGTTTTCTGAAATTGCAGAAAGGGAATTGGATCAGCATAACATTCCCATGTAGAGAATAGGTAGCATATTATCTGGTGCTTTCATAGCATACTGACTGAGTCAAAAGGCTTTATGAATATGGAGTTACAGCTCTCCAGGCCACGGGGAAGATGGAAGTAATATCACCAGTGCTGTTATTTTATTTCCCTTGTGTACATTTTTATTATTAGGGTGAGATTGTGGCCTTAGCTAAATTTGTTGCAGTAGGCCCATTGACCTCAGTGTAGGCAGGTTTTCCCTTAATTCCAGCAGATCTGTCAGCTGCTGGATTCCAAGCCCAAAATGGAGATTGGCAAAATTGTGCCTCAGGAGGAAGAGAAATTTCCTGTTCTCTCCCGATGAGATCTGATTAGATTATTGTATAAAGCACTGTCTGCCTGACCAGCTTTAATTCTTCTTCTTACGGTGTTCTAGTAAATGGATGATTGAAATCAGGTATGTCAAGTTCAGGCTGTGATGTTCTACTGTCACGTCAGCCAAGGAGCGAGGCACCATCTCTGTAAAACTCTGTAAAACAGCAACAAGAAGAAGCTGGCTCTCCTGGCCCTAAGGAGAAGGCAGTCAGTGACAGCCAGTTTTGTGGGGAAGGCATGAGGTGCTGCCCCACAGATCAGCACCGTTTCAGCTGTCTGACAGCATGGTATTTTTAGCAGTGTAAGTTCTGGTGTGTCATGCCTGGGAACTGTACCCTCGTTTAAAAACCACCAAACCTCACTGAGTGGAAGCATTCCCTCAGTGAGCACACAGCTATTTTGGGTTTTCTTCCCTTGCAGTTATTCCTTGACAGACCCCTGGATGCGATTTCCTGACCTTTAACTCTGGCTTTCTCATTCTTTTGTTAGCTGTGTTTTACCAATGCGCGTCACGCTCTTTCCCTCTCCCCCTTCTTCCAGTTGTATAGATAAGGACTGGTAATTGTCTTTATGGATGTTGTAATGAGCTCTGTCACCACACAAAGCAGCTCACTAATAAAATAAATCAAAGCAGCAAGGAATGAATGGAAAGCATGCTTTTAAAATTAGATTTGTACTGCGGGTGCCACACTGTCACTTGCAGCATGACACACCGTTAAAAAGGCACAGAGTTGGCGAAGTACCTTGAAAGGGTCACTGAGCTCTGCTAGCAGGAATTAGGAAGCCTTCTATTGCCTCCATTGCAGCATCATTTGGAAGTAAATATTTTAAAGCATGATCAGGGAAAGAGCATGTAAAAATTATGTTAGATTTTACTTGCTCAGTAACTCAGCTAAGTAG